CAGTTTTCATTATTTAGTTAGTTTTAGTTAACTGTAATAACCCTGCAGAAACCTCATCCGCTCCAAAGGATTAGGCCACAGTCAGTAACCCCACGCACCAACATCTTTCAAGTTTTATATGCATATCACACCCACTGCAGTAAAAAGACAAATATTTGTTTATATTTTCATTTGCTTGACAATATTAAAACACATTAGTTCTAAGTGTAGTGAGCACATTTAGTTAACTTTTCTACATTTGATTTGTCATACACCTTTTTAATATTTGTTGTTTGTGGGGCAGTTCCTTGGATTGCGGTTCTCCTAAATCACTCGTACGCACAATTTAAGAACAAATCTGTGCGTACGAACGGTTCTTGCATGAGGCCCATTGTTTCTTTTAAAGCCGGGACTAACAGTACATCTATCTGTTACAAAACAGTTCAGTTAGCAGGAATTTTTTTTTTCCACCCCCCCAAACTTTGAGAAACATTTTATGAAAGAAGCACATGCTTCTGTCACGTTAAACAGAAGATAAATCATTTCTGATAACAGTTTTTAGATAAAGAACTTCTAAATTATCAAATATTTTTGTGCCCCATCAGGGTTTGAGCATCACTCACTACATCCATCTTTACATCTTTCTTTACAAAAACATCTTATAAACTGTTAACTTCTGTGCACTAACCAACTTTTCTTTAGGTGGTTGTGTAGTTTTATGGGTTTTAACTGATCCAGAATGAAAATCCTGCATGATTTACTGAGCTAAGAATCAGTYGCATTAAAGCACTGAACAGGTCACGACTGCTGAACTGGATCTCTGTCTGGTTCTACATACTAACTCAATCTGAGAAACAAACATGTAAACATCACAATAAACAAAAAGATGAAGTCACTCACTTGGAGTCAGTAGATCACTGAGTGAGAAGTCATACACCATGCACATGGGCAGGAACTGACGCCTAAAACCAAAAACAAACACACAGTCCAGGGTCTTGTTTACAAATGTTAGTGTTATTCTAATGTTTATATTGGGATAAATAGACAAAAACAGTGAAATAAAAACACATTTAAATAGCTCTGCAGTAGCTTCCATGCTGGGCATTTGAAATCCCTTTCAAATAATTTGATTTTGACCCARACCTTCAGATGAGCTGAGGCTGCTGTGTTTAGTGAAAATGTSCACAGAAACAGACAAAAAGCATCACTTTGTTTTTATCTGGTAACCCTGATGACTCAGCTGCATGAAGACTGAAGAGGAGTGTTTTCTTCCTTCATGCTGAAAACAGCAGACGAACAAAAAAAATAAAAAAATAACTCCTCTCTGACATTTAGTGTAACTGTTGCTGGTGGTTTATATGTCTCTTGAGATWAAGCACTTTGTGATGTAATAACGTAACTTGCCCTACAAACAGACCTGTTCTCCATTTGAGCCCTGCTCCACATTGTGTGGTCAGACCAAAACAGTCAACATGTTAGAAGTTAATCACATCTTTCTTCTTATGGCTAATATTAGCTCAGAATTGCAGAGCGGGAAAATTTTATGAAATTCTTGTTTTAAAACAAACAAAAAAAACAATAAATCATAAACAGAGACTTAGTGTTTGGTCACACACAGTTACAGAAAACAATAAACTCAGTCCCCCAAGAGGTTTTGATTTGACCACGGAGAACAGGAGCCTCACATGCACGTGTAGACACTCAGAATGTAAGTAGCTTCCTCATGATAGGCTGGATACTGGATGTTCTCCAACAGAGGAACCTGTGGAAACACAAAACAGAATGAGGTTCTTCTAAAGTCCTTAAGTCCACTTCCTGTCCTTCTGCTGTCGACTCAAAACATTTAGTTTTCCACATCAAAAGAGGAATTTGAGACAACAGCTGTTTACATGTGGGTCTGATACACATGCAGGGAGTGGTTCCTGCTGATGGACGGGACACCAGCAGACCACCCCCTCCCATGCAAACAATTTAAGGCTTAATTAATTCAGGTTTACACCAAAACCCAGGCTTAATCACTTATCCTAGATTTGTGCAATAGGCTCCTGGTTTAAAGTGTGAWGTGACCATACTGAAGTTTCTAGACTGACTCGGTCCATCTTCAGACCTTAAACCCCACAGAGCTGATTCTACCTGCTAAAGAGGAGCCTGAAGGAACAAAGCCCCTGACCCAGAACTGAACCAGACTGAAAGTAAAGCTTTGGTCAGTGGGTCACAGGCTTCATGCGGTTTCATCAAACAGAGAMTCTGAAACAGAGCTCTGTGTTGTGGTAAACAAGCAGGATGCAAAAACAAACAAACAAAAGAACAAATACAGAGTCYATAAAATCCTTAGTTTTATAAGAAGCAATCTTAAAAGAGATTTTAGTGGTTAAACTCACCATGGAGTGACACTCGGGTCTAAAGTCGGTCAGGAGATGTAACACTCTCATGTACAGAGTCTGAACAGCTTGTGGCTGAAAGAGACGAGATGTTTGTCATCAAAAACTCTCCTTTTTTTGTCTCCTACAGACAGGACCAAACCAGCTGTACTTATGTTGATAAAGAAGATTTTATAAAAGTTTTCTCTCACTCTTTACTTTGGTTCAAGTGAATAAAACAGCAATCAGTTTGAGTTAAAGAGTTAAACAATTTGTTTAAGTATGGATATAGGGTTAGTTTTTCTTGTGTAGTGATTTGGTATAAAGGGGATCTGCGTTGATCACAAACAGGAAAAGTACTTTATTTGTCATCTAGTTGTTTATTTTTCCTTTCAGAGTATTCATTTAAAGATTTAATATTAGTTATTTAATAAACTGATTGTTTTTAGTCGCTAAAAGGTTCTGAACGCATCAAACATTTGCTGAAAGTTTCATGGGAAGCTCTAAAAATGTATCACTTAAAAATATTGTAACTTTATTTTAATTATCTTTGTGTCATTTCAAAGTTTTCACAAGTCTTTCAGCGTAAGTCAATTGTTAAATTAATACAAACCTATAATTTTGAACAGACTTGAAACACGAGCTTAATATAAAAGTTTAAATCGTTAGTTTTAGCTTATGACAGTGGAACAGTAAAATGATTTCATTCAGTCTTAAAACAGCTGCCTTTCCGCAAAAGAAGACATTTAAGTACGCTTTTATTAAACGGACCGGTTCTATAGAACCGGACTTTACCTTCGGAACCGGAGTCAGGTCGCTTTTGGTGAGTTGTTTTGCTTCTTGTCCGGTGAGAACATCATTTCTATAAAAGTTCACTAACGTCTCCGCGTTGTGAACAGGAAAAGTATTATCAGCCATCACTGTACCGGAGTGAACAAGCTGAGAACAACAGACAGTTAATGAAAACAACAACAATCATACAAAATTGGCGCCTTCCGCCTTTTCTTCTTCTCCTATTTGTATCCGGTCTGCTGGCGCGTGGCAAACAGCCGTGAATGAGCACGACGCCYTCTTGTGGCTGACCGGAGAAACACGAACGGATGGCCTCCGTGCAGCCTGTGCCACTGAGATGAGAATCTGTGCCGCCATCTTGGAAAGACCTGCTGCCAGAATGGTGGCAGATTATCAATATCAGATTAAAAACGACTTGTGTGTGTGTGCGTGCGTGCGTGCGTGCGTGCGCACTGCAATAGAACTATTATTAGTAGGGGCGCAACTACTTATTTTCTGAGGTGTATGAAAAGACATCATCGGCACCCCACCACCACCCTCAACAGTGGCGCCTCCAGAATTGTTTTTCAAGGGGGGCCATGGGTGGCCTCTGAAAAACCAGGGGTGGCACACCAAAACTAATACCCATTTTATGATGCTTTTGTAAAAATGACAATTTGAAAACTATGGCAACTTAAGAGTTAAGGGTTTACCAACAGATGTCCAGTTTGTTATTTTACAGATAATTTTACTGATTCTGTGATGCAAGGGCGTAACTTTCTGAAGGACTGGTGTGGACATGTCCCCACCAACTTTGGACGGACAGGGACAGTCCCCACCAATATTCACACATCTTTTTTCCTTTGCGTGCATCTACATTTCCCGACAGTAACGCGCTTCAGGCCGGTCTCAGGTAGGACAGAGTGTCTCAGATAGGACAGAGTGTCTCAGGTAGGAGGACAGAGTGTCTCAGATAGGACAGAGTGTCTCAGATAGGACAGAGTGTCTCAGGTAGGACAGAGTGTCTCAGATA